CCAATATTTGTGATTCTAACGACATTGGCAAAGAGGCGAGCGTAGGTTTCACACGTGTTTAACAAAAGTGCAGACCCTGCACAATATTCTGGCGGACTTTTGGAACATCCTTTTAAAGACATCCTTCAGCTCAGCGATATTGTGACGTGTGGTATGAGCAGCTTCCATGAGGGCATTTCACCGCATCTCTTTTTGGATTAAGATTGAGATTGCCCCGCACCCAATTTCAAGCCATTCTGCAGTAGATTTACTTCAGATAAGAGTTGCTGTTGTTTACCAAAAAGTCACTTTGACCTTATTTTGAAAGCTACCTCGATAAATTTCGGATTGAATTTTCGGCACCGTGATGGCGTTGGGGGGTGATGGCCTGTCCCAGAGTTCATTGTTCATAATTGTTACTCAGATGTTATATTTTTCTGATTCGATGGAAAGTTGCCATTTCGAAATGTTGCTTCAGTTAACTGGTAAACACACGGGCTAATCACTGACAACAAAGATGCACTAATCTGGGAAAAATAAAGCCCAGGCTGTAATAAACGGACTTATCCCTTAAACATCAAACACATGCTGCAGATGACTTGCATGCATTTGCAGTTACACACTCTAGCACAAGAAGGTTCTTGGCACTGACGCATACTCATCCAAGCTAAAGCAGGTGCTCTCTAAGTCGCATGCAAATACTCACATAGCTCAAACCAAATGCCCCTACTCCCAACCCCACCCTTGCTCACGTGCATGCACCTTATTGTCATACAAGCCCCCCCGTACATGCAGCATGCACTGGCAGCACTGGAACGGATGTTGCAAGGCGGACGGGCTTGGAGGTCTGACCTAGGAGGTCTGGAGGTCCTCGGGGGTAGGAGAAGCCATTTCCTCCCTGATGAGGAGCCGGGAGGAAAGAGCAGCAGGCAGGGCTGAGGACGATGGTCTCAGCAGAAAGGAATTCCGAGAATGTTGTCCTTTAATCTGGAGTCAGCCTCGTGCACTCACTACATCTCTCTCTCTCGCTGTGTTGCTCTTAGCTTGCTCTGTCTTTTTTCTCATTTGGCTTTATCTGACCACCTCCTGGGTTTTCTGTTTCCGTGCCATAGGCGAAGAAGGGTTTCAGATGGACGCAGGCAGATTGAAAATGCAAAACGACCGACCCATTTTTTTGACTTTTCGTTATACTGCGTGCATGAGTTTGTGTGTGTTCATGTAGCCCGTGCAGAAAAAGGAGAGCAGGAGTGTATAATGAGGGTATTTGTGAAGCAGAACAGAGAATAAGAAGGGTGAGAAAGCGAGACTAAGGAAGGAGGAATGCAAACGTGGTCGGAAGAAGATTGCGGGGGGGGGGGGGCAAAAGGGAACATTACAAGTGTGGAATGTCCTTTTTTCATTTTGTAGCAGACACATGTTGTTATAATCATCTCTGTGAAAACAGTTATTTGGTTGTGTGTTTAGGCCTCGACTCAAAGCATTGTAGGGATGAGTTGTTGTTTTTTATTTCTTTCAAGGGGTTGGATGCAACAGGCTTGAGCATTCCATGCATAGTGTCAAACTGTGTGTGATCTAAACCCACTCATGCACACAGTAGGTTCTCCAACTTAAGTCTGGGCTGTACTGCATTTTAGACACGTGTGTTTTATAGACTTACAGAAACAGAGAAATAGGCTTTTTTTTTATAGAGATGAGGGAGGATGTATGGAGAAAAGGGAGCTGGTTCTCTAAACACTATCTAGTGCAAAGAATATGGATGAAAATGATCTATAAATATGTTTTTAAATATGTGACTTTTTTATGTCTTGAGCAGGAATAAATTTAAGTGTCAAAGATGGAGTAAGGGAAATTGGAAAGTACTGAAAAATCATCTGCTTTTGGTTTTAGTTTCCTTTATGATGACCATTGACAAAAAACACAAATCTAGAATAAATGCTGGCTTATCCTTCAGTGCAGGCATGCAAGGCCATAAATACACGGCTACAAAAATGGTTTAGTATTTTGCAAGTGGCTGGGGTGTAATTTCATATTTGAAATAAAGCTTAATACAGCTATCTTCCGGTGTGTCTGCAAGTGCATGCATGTGTTATGTATATGCCTTAATCTGCAGTTGTGGCTGGGTTTTCGAATAACTGCATTTCACTGAGGCGGATATACCCTGAGCTCTAGGTCTGTGGTTCTTCCTAGAAGGCTTTGTGAGAGTGTGAGTTTGTGTGCATGTGTGCGTGCGTGCATACGTGTATATTGGAGTCCTGACTTTTGACTTTGCAGGGTGACAAATCCATGCAATAGACTGAGGTCATATGCATTTTAGCCTGCAACTGCAAGCGTAAGAGGAAGACGTGGAGCGGGCCATTTGTCGGTTAAGCATCTATCCATGTTTAAAAATGGCGACCTGCATTTAAACGTCTCATGGCAATATCTCCATAGGCGCCAGATGCAGATATGCTGTAACTGAAGATTGAGCTCAGTACTTTGCTGCAAACTTAAAATCTCTTTTAAAAAATTAAAAAATTCCAACAAAAATGTAGCAATGCTGTGTTGAGTCCTGTCCTTGATTAAAATGAAAGTATGTAGCCCGGCTCTATGGGAAGCTGTGCGACTTCCATTCATGATTTTCTTTGAGGTTTCACTGTTCTAAAATTCGTCAATGACCCTAACACTTAGTGTGCTCACTTGGCAGATGCGTGTCTCATTTCTGGTCACGTGACTCGCCCGACGGATCTCAGCCAACTAGCCTCAACTTCCGCCCTATTTCCACTGAAGCAGGAAGTAGAGATGAGAAAGTATCACACATCTGCAAAATGCGGCCCCTGGCTCTATTAATAGTCTCATTCACTTTAGAAAAAATGCGGCTCAGGTTTTTATTCCTCTTATCAATCTCACTTGTCGGTTTGGAGATTTGCTCACTTGCTCAGTTCACCTCACATATCCAGGACAACTTCTCGTGCCACTGTCATATATAAAGTGATTTCCATGGAATTCCTATTCCATGGCCGGATGACCTGGTAATTGATTGGCCTAGAATATTTATTTAGAAGAAGAAGAAGAAAGTGTACTTTATTGGTCCCCGTGGGGAAAATCGCTCTCTGCATTTAACCCATTCACTCAGTGAAGCAGTGGGCAGCCATTGGGCGCCCGGGGAGCAGTGTGTAGGGACGGTACCTTGCTCAGGGGTACCTCAGGGTAGCTGTTCAGGGGAATCGAACCCCCGACCTTCCGATCATGGGGCCACCACTCTACCTACTGAGCTATCCCTGCCAGTAATGTATTTAAATCCAGTTGTACACTACCTGCGACTCCTGACGCAGCACTGCACAAGGAAACCCCTACACATGTGTTCTGCAGACCTTTGCACACCCTTATCTTCGTAGTTGTGTATGTGCACCCGATGGCATTGTCACATATGTAGAGCAAACTGTAATCTGGGCTACCTGTGTTTGTTTGTGTTTGTGCTATTGTTGGTCCCTTTAGCTACCACCCCCGGCCCTCCCTGCTGTGGAGAAGACATAACAGAGAAAGAAGTTTAAATATTGAAGTGAAACCGAGTGCTTGAAAACAATGAAAACTGTCCTCTGCAGCCACTGTTGCTGCTTATAATGCATGCATTTTTAATCTTGAACGTGCTTTGATTACATTTCCACAATCCTTCTTTTCTGTGCAGGTGAAGATCTATGCAAATAGACACCAGCCCAGCAACCATAAACCCTTTAGTCACTGCAGTACTTTAAACTAATACTGTCTGATTGCTTGTAGCATGTTTTGTGGAGTTTTTGGATGTAATTTAGGCTAGTTGGCAATCAACTGAAAGCCCACCTGGGACTTATGAGGATTCATTAGCTTTCCAGTAATAAACCCTCATCATCCAAATCAGAGTCTGTGAAAGTGTCACCTGGTTGCTGTGAGTGTCTGAAAGTTTTAGAGCAGTTTCAGAGGTTTTTGAAAAATACTGAAAGCAAAGTGTGGAGCATCAGACCCAACATGAGTTTCCTTTCACCACAATCCTGCAAGTCAGAAACACACAAGCAACTTGTGCCGGTCACATAAACAATGACCCAGTTCATTCACTAATAGTTTATATTTAACTGCGTACTTCTTTTGAAGATCATTCCTCTCAAATTACCTATTCAAGCATATTTTAAGACTGAATAAGATCTTATAAGAAAAGGGGGAGGATCCAATGATTGTTCCTTCATACTTGTGCAGAGCCAGCCAAGTCTATAAATATATCTACGTGACAGTGCATCCTCTTTGCTTACATACATTCGTCCCTGACTTGAAGATCCAGATAAGCAGCCTGCAGTGCCTGGAGGGGGAACTGCAGCCAAAAGCTGTAGGAAAAATCTGGAGTTTAGGAAAGCACCTGGAACCCGTCCACTCTCTTACTAGGGGTCACTGAGTTTTGTCTGGAGGCTTTCCCTACTGTAGCTGTTAACAATGCTGCTGCTTTCCTGCAGGCTCATGGCTCCACACACACAAACTGCGAGGTCCCAGGGAGAGTTACAGGGACAAATTTGGAAAACATGCTTAGTTTGAAGTAGCACAAAATGGCTGCTGTTGATGCTTCAGGTGGATGTAGGGTAGTCTGATAAAAGACAGGAAGTGTTCTTTTTTTTTTTTTTTTTCCTCTCTCTCTCTATTTTGACAGGAAGGAGGGGTAGAGCGGGGCGGTTGATATCAGTTAATCACCCCCTTTTCATTTCCCATGCACATGTTGTCTGCCAGGTTTGAGACATGTATTGTGCATCTTTGTAATAGGTGCTCCTCTGTACTGACGTTCACGCTGCAATTGTAAATAAAAGTACAGTTCTGAGTTTCCCCGGTGGATTGATGTGGAAAGATTGTGTGAAGTGGGTACACCAGAATGGGAACAGGGAGGCCTGTCCTGCCAGATATGATTTCATGTCTTACGTAAGCTCAAGATGGGGGCAGAGAAGCATTAACCCTGTGCATTAGTGACTTGTGTGTCTTTGTGTGTATTTTGTCCTGTAAAACCTGACGGGTTTTCTGCTGTGTTACAGGTGGTGACGCTGTGGTACAGAGCCCCAGAAGTGCTGCTCCAGTCAAGTTACGCTACACCGGTGGACCTGTGGAGTGTCGGCTGTATCTTCGCTGAGATGTTCAGGAGAAGGTGAGGCCGATGGGCAAAGCTATCTGGGCTTTATACTTGTTTAAATCTGGACTGACTTTGAACTTCAGTTAAAGTCTCTAAGCATTTCTCTTATTCCTTTGTTTCTTCCACTAATGTTGATTCTGGTACTTTTACTGTTGAGCAGTGTACCATACAATAAACATAATGTGGAAGGATTCTGTCGAAGTTTTCACAAATGCTTCCCGAGTCACACGATCACATTTCATTCAGAGGTTTAGTGTTGACGCACCTTGGCGGTAAAGTCTAAACACATGTTAGACTTTGGTCTTCAAATTCAGACTCTTTGTGAGCGTCATGTTGTCTTGATTGTTTTCACTGGTATCTTTTTTTAATAGCACTTTGCTGGGTCTTACTAACCACATCACCTATTTGCACACACATCTGTGCAACACCTTATTCAATGCACTGTAAGTCTTTATCTGTGATATACACACTTAGGCTAACGGTTATATAAGAGACAATTTGGGATTCGGGGCTGTGCTTAAGGCCATGTAGACCTTATAGATGACCCGCTTTCCTGTTGCCAAGATGTGACGTTGCATGGTATAGAGACTTCTAGCCACTATATTGGGTATACCTGCTTAATTTCTTGTTTATACGAATTAGCCGATCACATAGCAGCGAATCGGTGCTTTTAGACGTGTTGACACGGTCAAGACGACCAGATCAACATGTCCAATCTGAAAGCAGATGAGCTTTAATAACAGAAGACCACCTATTCAGCCAAAAAAAAGGAAACTGAGGCTATAGTTTACACAAGTTCACCAAGTTTAAACCACAGATAATTGGAAAAATGTTGCTCGATCTGATGAGTCTCTATTTCTGCTGCAGCATTCGGATGTTAGCGTCATAATTTGGGGTGAACATGAAAGCATAAATCCATCCTGCCTAGTATCAAAGGTTTAGTCTGCTGGTTATGGTGTGATGGTGTGTGGGATATTTTTGTGCCATTTAAAATTATGCTCAATGCCAAATAAGTATGGTTGAAATGCCACAGCCTACCTGAATATTATGACCACAGACCACAGAGTACCCATCTTCTGATGGCAGATAAAGTGCTATGTTACAAAGCTCATATCATCATAACAATGATTTCACTGTACTCAAATGGCCTCCATAGACACCAGATATCAATCCAATGCAGCATTTTGGCATGTGGTGCAGCGGAAGATTAACCTCGTGGGTGTGCAGCCGACAAATCTGCACCAACTGAATGACTCCGTAATGTCAACGTGGAGCAAAAACTCTGAGGAATTTTTAGAGCCACTTGTTGAATCTGTGCCACAAGCAATTAAGGCATTTCTGAAGGGAAAAGGGTGTCCAACCCAAGACTGATGAAGTTTTATTTCTGTTCCAACAAACTCTTGATAGCTATTGTAATTTCTCTTATTTGGGTTACGCCAAAGCAGTGTGGAAGGGAAAATACCCAGCAAAGTCCCTTTACTGTGTTGTTAAGTAATGATTGAGTAATGATGACATTCCTCAGTGAGCACAGCACTTTAACCGAATCACTTGGGGAGGTTACAGACATGAGAAGTGATATGGGGGACTGGAACAAAGTCATTGTGTCATTAATATTAAATACTCCTTCATACTTGTTTGCAATAAAATCTGATAACTGAGTCATGGAGGCAAAAAAAAAAAAAAAAGTCTCTGTAGCCCCTCATAAATTATCTGACTGTTCATTTTATCATATAAGTTGCAGTAATAGTAAGAATTAAATAATATAATAGACACATTTTTGGGACATCAAAACGTCTTCTTTACTGGTGGGTTGACCACATTTACGGTTTAAAAAAAATAAATTAAAAAATCCAGTTATTATCTGTGACCCAAGTTTGATTTTTACCCCTTGTGTCAATACTCATAAAAATGTTCCCATGTAAACAGCTTTAAGTTTTCTTTGACTGTTGTATTTACGATCGCTCACAAAGGAGCAGCTCGACGAAGAGGGCCACGGGCGTCCTTTGTATCATTGCTCTAATTTTACTTGAAAAACACGAACTGAAATCACTCGTCACAATCGGTTATTTGGGAGTTTCTTACTGTAGTCATCTTTTCCTCAAATGACACCTGTCAGATGCGTTATGAGCAGCGAGGAATCACATTTCGGTTGGCTTATCAAGCCATTACAGTAACACTGCTGTCTGCTGTGGTTGCAGCATGCAAGTCTAGATTCTACTTCTACTTGGTGTAGGTATTTGTCAGTTTGTGGTCTAACGAACTTCATGCTGGCGAGCCAAGCTAATAACGGACAGTTTTCACCCAAAAAAAAAAAAAAAGAGTTACAACTGCCTGTTTTTGGGCTTTTGGAAGAAAGAAAAGACGGGGGGCAAAAAGATGCAGTTTTATCCTCGTCACATTAAGGCGACGTTGATTTAATGTTTTTAAGGTGCTATAGTATGTATAAAATGTATGCTTTAATTGAGAGTAGAGAGGCCGCGCCAGGCTGTGGTGTGTTCTACAGTAGATAATAACAGTCTTTCTGAGGTAGGGCTAAGTGCCAAGAGAAGCAGCCCTGCTTCCTTCCCCAAACGACTCCTTACCCCAGCATGCACGGCCGCACACAGCAACCCACGCTCTGTACTTGGGACCTGATGGGAATGTATAGGTTCCTCTATCAAAAGGTTACCCAAGGCTAACATCTAGTCGTGCTGCACAAAAACACGCAGAGGCACTTTCGGAGTATCTTGTTGACAAATGGTGCCGTGATGAAACTTGATCTAAGAGTTGTTTGATCAAGCTCAATTTGTTTGCCGGCTATTTAAATCTTGGCAGGTGGCCGTATTTTAATGATGCTTTACAAGTTTTCATGCATTGGACAAAAAGATGGGTCTTTTGGGACTGTGAGAGACTGCTTTGATACTTAGTTTTATAATTAGGATTTAGGTTTCATTCTCTTAGTTTGCAACATTTAAATCGAGACCACTTCACAGTATAGCTTCTCTTCGAACTTACGTTCCCACGTCATTTGACATCTTTCAAACTTTTTTCAAGTTTCCTTATTTTCCTGTTGTTCATATATTTATCAAAAAACAAAACGCATACGCACGCCATACGTGCACTTTCGTAATGATGTGTAATCGTGAAACATGGCCAAAGTTTCATGAGGTCAGCGTATGCAGAGGTTTCGGTGAGAGCAGAGATCCCTTGTATGGTCATCTGAATGACACAGCTGTGGTCACAGAAGTCCCCCTCTGCTGTCAAAAGTTTCTCATAGTCGGCCTTGAAGGGTGGGGGAACGGAGACCGGTGATGAATTAAAGGGGGCCGCGGTCCAAAAATAAGCAGGATTATTTCAAACTCCGAATCATGCAAAGCAGGTGAAGCATTTACAGGTTTTCAGTTTGTGGCGCCAGGTATAAAGCGTTATCCTCATCATTGGCGTTCAGAAATTGTGTCTGTGCACCGCATTTCAAATATTTTCAGCGGTTTATGGGTGAATTTCGAATAAGTTTTAGAGGTAATGTATTCACAGTCATGCTCGTAACTACTTCATTCAATGTCAGTGATGTATGGTACTTTCCATACTTGTGGCAAGGTCAAGCTGGAATTTTTTTATTGAAGGTCAGGCTTTAAATGAAGAGAACAAAGCAAAGTTTATTTCCCATCAATGCGTCTTTTACAGTCGTGAAAAAACTGATCTTGATCTGTAATCAAACATTTTTAAGTCAAATAGTAGAAACAATGTGTGCTTAATCTGTGTACAAAAGGTCTGTCCTTGTGTTATATGGTGCTCATTTAAAAGCACAGACTGGTTCTGCCTGCAGCCCTGATCAGAGTGAGCAGTTGAATGCAGTACATCTCCTCGCACCCTGACACAATAAACTTTGAAGTGTGTTGGTTTGTGTAGTTCATTTTCAAAATCTGGCATCTGCCCAACTTTGCTTTAAGGTAGAAGGTAAGGCAAAGCTCTTTGATGGCCACAAACGCACACGAACACGCACTTCTCTGCACAGTCTCAGCGGGTGATTAAGATGGCTTTTAAAAGGCCACCTGTCAGAGATTAAAGGGCACCTGGGAGAAGAGAAAGAAAGCAAGATATTGAGAGAAAGCAGTGTTTGTTAGTTTTGCAGTTATATTGAAATTGAGATTAGAAATGCTGACAGCTCACGGGCACAAAAGCAGACCTCTATGCTCACAATTAAGCTGTTTTTCAGAATAATTGTTTACCACTTTTAAAGGAGATCTGTTATGCTCATTGCTAGCTAAACATTTTTATTCCTTGCTCCACTAGAGAAAATCTTTGCATGATTGAAAGTCAAATTTGTCTTATACTAGAACTTGTTGGAGCCCCCTTCATTCGTCCATCAGCCTTTAAGTCAGCTTTCTTCTGATTGGGTGCCCCCTCGGAAACAGATAGTTGGTCAGGTAAAGCGACCGCTCAGAACCAGAGTTGTGACGACATAAAGAGCTCTGACATCATAGAATCCAGAGTAGTAAAAAAGATTAGCTGAAGCATTTTGAGCTGTTAACCCTGATCTTTTGGTTTATACTCACCGCTGTGAGCATCTACACTGCAGGACTAAACCGTCTGTACATATATGATAGAAAACAAAGGAAAAATAATTGGTCTCCTGTTTTCTGTTGCTTACTTTGATTTTGTTTGGTTTGCAAGATGTCGGGTTGGACTTTGCATTATTGTAGCATCTTCACGTTGCAATATCAGAGGAAAACTCCAACAATCAAACCTCTATGAGCAAGCACCTAGAGAAAGTGGCAAGGAAAAACTCCCTTTTAACAGGAAGAAACCTCCAACACAAACTGTCTCAGAGAGGGCCAGCCATCTGACTCGACTGGTTAAGATGCCCTGTGGAAGAACACCAGAGATTCATAACTAATGATTTAAATGCAGAGTAGTTTATAAGCACAGAGTGAAAAAGGCTGAGTGAAGAAGAAACAGTCAGTTCATAGGTTAGATGTAATTTTGAAAGTAAGCCTAAAACCCCCCACGAGCAGCCATGACCCCCATTTTTGACGCACCACGTCGCGTCTCAGGCCAGAAACATGTGAAGTCTTTCTTTGAGTCATGAGACTTCAAAGGTTTCATGACTCATAAGCACATTCTTCTTCACTTTCACCACCAAACATGCTATTAGAGTACATGGTCATTAAAAGTGTTTTTAATGACTATGTACTGTAGTGAGAATAGTTGCTCTCAAAGGAATTTGAGCAAATATTATACAAGTCTGCATCTGCATGGCTGGGATGGTGTTGGGTGAGTCACAGTTCGAATGAATTTTGGAGAGAGCTTGTGCTTGTTGACATTCCCCTAACCAAAAAGGTTGAACGCGGTTCGTTAATGGCCCGGGAGAGGCCCCACATCCGTGTTGACTTTCTCACAGTTTGGAACTCGATTGATAAATTCTCAAAAGCACACCCTTGCATGCACGCGTGCATGCAGTACAGCGCGGGATACCCTGCGTGAAAAGTCCGCAGTCCAACACACACACCTCATTTCTTTCCAGCTCCCACTTAGATAGTTCGAGACGCTCACGTGCAAACATGCGAATTCACACGCGCATTCCAGAGGTTCTCTCAAAGGAATGTGGGACGACGCCGTGCTGGCACTAAAGGATGCGTGACTCAGCTGCCTGTCCCAACTCGGTCTCGGCCTTTTCACTGCAGCCACTTGTGTGGCGTTGTGCATGGGCATTGGGATTTGTACGTGCAAATCTCAGGGTGGGAAACGATGCCAGGGCGCGAGCACTCGCACTCAGCTGCTGACTGTGTGTGCATGCCAGCGGCCAGCTCTGTGTGAATCCAGTTATCCCCCTTCAACAAACCAACAAACCACTCCAGGTTTAAAAATGGACCTCTCGGAATTATCAGCCCTACTTGTTTTGGCATGATAACTTTGCTGTAGGTGATTTTTTTTTTTCTCTTTTTTTCGTTTGCAACAGTCAGAAACTGGTTTGGTCTGATCTTACATGCCTTTCAAAGTTCTCAGTGCGATGCCTTGCCCTAAAAGACCTGCATATGCAATCATTTTTGAGACATCCGTTACTCAAGGACACCATTTCTGAACACTGGAAAGAAACTAAGATCTTAATTCCACTTCCAAACTTAAGCCTGTGACAGGGAGTCTGCTGTCACAGTAAAAATGTTCCAAACACCTTTTGTGTGACTAATATCCCCAGTGTCTCCACTGTAGGAAAGTGTGGGTGTAAGCTATGCAAAGCTTCCTGCAAGTGGGAAAGCACAAGGAGCACATGGTGGCTAAACCAGTCTCTGTTGAGTTCAGTTAAGTGGGGTGCACTTGAGGTGTACTAAGGCCTGGATACAAAATGCAGACAGGCATGCATAAAGGCACATCTATATGATGATACCCTGGCACTACATTGACATCTGCTGGTGAGCAAACACAGTAACGAAGTGGAATGTATTTTTAAAAAAGAAACAGAGAGAGAGCTGTTTCCCCTTCTGAGCCTTGTGTGTTCGTTTTGTGAGGAACACTTAGAAATATTAATCTCGTTTAGCCTAAAAGTGGTGGTGTGTGCGATGTTAAACAAGTCCCCTCTTGTGACAACAGGACCTCCTTATTTCCCCTCAGAGGAACTTTGACAGGAAGCTCCAGCTCCTATACCTCTTTCTCTGTTAGGATAATCCAACTTTTCTTTCAAACGCCTTTTCCTCCCAATTTCCTCCACGCATTCAGTCAGCAAGAGCAAAAGCAGACATTCGCACTCTCTCTCTCTCACTCACACACACACACACACGGGATAAAAAGGCTTTTTCTGTCCCGTGTGGCGACTGCCAGGCTTGTGCTGATGATGACTACTGGAATCTGTGCTGATCCCATGCCAAGCACGGGCACCCGAAGACTGCCCAAAGCCACAGGAACCACCAGCAGCCCTGCTGCCGCTCTCCTCCCTCCTTTCATCCCCCGTTTCCTTCCCTCCCCATCCTCAGCAGCACCACCAACACTGCTCCACAATCCCTGTTCCCTGGGATGGAGCTGCGAGCGTGTGGCTACTTCAAAACGTTCACATCGGAGTCCCACATTCCTCGAGCCAAAAGCTTATATGTCAGGGCTGTTGGTCTTACAGCGTACCATGGGAAAACGACTCCTATCTAAAGCAGGTTACAAAAGAGAGAACCGAATCTTTACATTTTACTTTTTCTGCATTTCCGGGTTTTGTTTTGTTTTTGCAACATAATATGTAGAAACTAAACTAACCTTTTTTTATAATTTCTGTTTTCTAGGCCGCTGTTTAGAGGAAACTCGGATGTTGATCAGCTTGGAAAGATTTTTGAGTAAGTAATGACTACTCTTGTTTTCCATTTCTCCTCAGGCTCGGTTATATTTTCTTTCAACTCAGTGGAATTTTGGAAGATTCAGTCAAACCTTTGCCTAAACATTAAGGGCAGAGCATGCACTCATCTACTGTTTTTCTAATTAATGAAAAACCCATCAGATAACCCACACTGCTTTTCTGGGGTGCATGTATTCGTGCCCCCCCCAGTCTTTACCAACACTCATGGATAATCCTTAAAAATGCTCTGAACTGGAATTAAGTGGTGAATGCTTCCCATTGCCGATGATGAAGACACTGATGAGCTGTATGATTCCACAGTGTTGTTGGGGTACCCTCGGCAGAAGACTGGCCCCAGGAAGTAGCCCTGCCACAGAGTGCCTTCACACCCCGGCCCCCGAAACCAATAGAAGACCTAGTTCCAGACATGGACGAGCAGGGACGGGCCTTGTTAATGGTTTGTAGTGTAACTCTCATGTGTGTCCCCAAAAGATTGCATGGAAAATGTTTTTAAAGCTGTCACTTGTTCATCACTGTCACCTTTATGGCATCGTGCACATTTATTTATGGGCCAAAGCGCTACGAGGAGCTAAGCTAACAAAACAACTTCTGTCAGTAACCTTGACGACCTTGTACCATTTTATTGTTTTTTTGTTTTTGTTTTTTATATACATTTTATATCTTCTAACTCCTTGTTTTTTCTGAACATGGAGCCTGAAATCCTTATGTGTGGAAAATAAATGCATGAAGCAAAGCGCTTACTTCACCATCGAGCAGATTTATACCCAACTTGTAGTTCGGCTTGTTTATAAAAGCACAAATATAATCGATCGTTCATCAGGATTATTGCATTTTGGAGCATCGATTTTGATTTTAAAAACAGCGTGGGAACCGAGCTGCACGCAATATTTTATTCAACCTAGAAATGTAAACAAGCATCTATACTTGGTGGTCTCTCATTATCTTCTTTTCCTCTCCCTCCCCGCAGCAATTCTTCACCTTCAACCCGTCCAGGAGAATATCGGCCTTCACTGCGCTGAGTCACCCCTACTTTCAAAGCGTGGACAGCCACAGCAGAAGTGTGTACGCAGCCCAGCCCATCCCCAGCAACAAGTCCACGATGGAGGAGAGGAGTGCCTGAAAGTCCTCTTTTTTTTCCCCTTTAACCCCCCCCCCCGCTCCCCTGGCTATAAGTATTTACCGTAGCGTTCCTAAAAAGTTTGTCATGTTTTATTTCAGCGTTAAATCAAAGTACATTAAAGGTTTTTTTGGCACTGATTACCAAAAAAAGGTTTCCCTTTCAACAAATCCACTCAAATCAAGTAAAAACAAAACAGCTGGTTACAGGAGAGTCCAGAAAAGGCATCAGTGTTTGAGTACTGCAGCTTTTCTCCATCATGATGACGCCACACTGTGATGAGGTTTACATTGTGAATTTCAAAATCTATCCTTTGCTTTATTGATCTCTCTCCTCAAGGGCTCAGTGGCCTCCTGCAAAGATGCGTCACCACCAACCTATAGCACTTAGTTATTGGTCAGAAAGCTTTAGTTGAGGGCGATTGCCGAGCTGTGTTTTAATGTTTGCCCTACGTGCCAAATACAGGCTGACAAGTAATGAGATTTTCCAGCTGTTGGGCCCTGCAGGCGTGATCTTAACTAAACAACAGCACATCTGGGTCTCCATCAGCAGCGCTCAGCCACATTAGTTCAATTCAGTTTTATTTATTCCGGAAAGATAAAGGCCAAATCACAACAGCAGTCACCTGGAGATGCTTTATTTTGAAAGGTAGAGACCCTTGATACCAGAAACCTGATAAGCAATGAGTTGTATGAGCTGATGCAAAGTGTGACACGGTTTAGAGCGGTAACATTCGCACTCCTTAATAGGTAGCTTCGTTAAATGTTCTGTCTTTATGACTTTTTTTCTGATAATCAGTGTCAAAAAAAGCATCACTAATGTTGGTTTTACGTTACATATAAAACGAAGCCTAAAACAGACTGCAGTGGGCAAATACTTTCCCCCTGGGGCGTATAAAACGCTCTGGGGAGCAGGGAGCGGGTGAAGATGGCGTCAAACGGATGGCACCAAATGCCCCCCAGAACCCTGCACACACAAGCTGTCATCCTTCCACGAACTGATGGATTGTAAATGCTGCTTTCAGGATGTGAAATGTTGTGTAACAATGCAAAGTGACCCAATCCTCATATGGATTTGGAGTTGGGACTGTAGAGTCCGAAGAGCGGAAACCTCCTTATGCCCAGTGTTTATCCTTATCAATGGAAAAAAAAAAAAAAAAGACTCTGGACTGCAGGAGAGAGAGATAGAGGACCAGACCAGAGCCTGGATGGATCTCACCTGCCTCTTTATTTTTGTTGTCTTGTTTGTTTTTATAAATAGCTTGCTTACTGCTGGTGTGTGCAGTGAGAAGACGAACGTTTCACACGCACATTTATTGTCCCCACTGCCGCTGACATAAGCACGCTCATGTACTCAGACATTGTTAGGCATCACAAACCAGCCACCCACTGCCATGTCCATTATCATTCCAGTTTTACCTATAATAATGGTGCCACCTTGTGGAAGTGTAGAGTAACTGCAGACCAGTAGCGGGATTCTAATGGTTTCTGCACACATTGAGGAACTCGTAACGGGGCTGATATCGGTGCTGAGACAATGAGACATCTTGGAGTTGTTCCTACCACTTACATAGACTTTGACTTTTTAATGACTTTTAGCTGTACCATCGTGAACTCTTTGTTTTATAATTATTGTGAAATCCAATTATTTCTTTCCAAATCATACCGTAATGCACAGACAGATCTGCAGGAAGTGTCAAAGAGAGACCCACAAGCACTATTCATTCAACATGGTAGAATTTTTGGCACACTTTTGTGTCACTAATATTCTGTATTTAATTTTAATTTTATTGACGAGTCTTATATACTTGTAACTTGATTTTTTTTTTTTTTTAATTTTTAATGCTGGGGTATACAGTGTTCTTACACCAGTGATGCCAACTCGTTAAAGGATTGTAGAGTCCGTGTAAGAATAGTTTGACGTTGTAAGGAATGTATAAAGGAAAAGCATTGGTACTGTACAGTAAATTGTGCTAGTTCTAAAGTACAAGCTGTAACAATAGAAACCTTTTGATATGTGCGTTTGTCAGCACATAGACATGTCGTTAAAACGGATAGACGTAGAGTAGCGAGGGTCTGCAGAATGTTGCATGGCAAGAGGTGTTTCTTTGTTTTCTGTTTTATTTGCGTGGGGTGGGTTGTTCCGATGGATTTCTTTTACCATGTGTTGAGAACTACTACGGATTTTCCAGTAGTTTTGATGACGATGTGATGCACAATATTTTGTGTACAGTTTCTGCTTTATTTTACCTTGGCGTGCCGTTCTATCCAAGTTAAGTTTTGACCCGCAAGGTAAAAGCAAGTTTTTCCAGAGTTGTATTTTTGTATTTAGTAGTTCTTGCAGAACAGTAACTTTGTAACACTGGTTTTTGTTTTTGGGTTTCGTAACAGGTAGTGCTTTTAGCACACAGACACAGACACACACAGACTCAATCTCTGACTTTCTCAGGTTCTCTCCACGGACGTCCGAAACCTTTCGGGCACAGTTTGCACATCTCTGGGTTACTGAATGACTACAATACAACTTCTTCAGGTTCTCTGTCAAGCTGTCTAAGGATCGTATCATTGATCACAATCTACTGTCTTTACTATTTATCAAATATATGTTACTGTAGTTCTTACTGTCTGAAGATAACTGCCTGTATAAACTGTTCTTGCCACAAACTAATGGCCAGGTGGCAAACATGACAGAAATACATGTCTGCTTAACACTGTGTGATTTAAATTTTTTTTTTCTATTTGATAACGACTCATTTCTGGTGGCATCTACAATGCAATGAAAGCTACAACTGCATTAGACACGGAGGTTTACATTTAAAATATTGACTGCTTTAATCTCATTACAGTTAATACAGTCACTGTGTGCTTTCTTATGATTTAACCGATCTGTAATGCTCTTCAGTCTCATAACAACTGAACTCCACTGCTGAACTCTAAGCAGTGTCACTATTTTTGAACGTCGCTTCATCCATCACTCAGATTGGCATTATACTTGTGTATGAATGCATCGGTGTCTTATTATTATGTTGCACCAGCTGAATAAAAAGCAGCTTTTTATTAATGTTGTTTGGACTTATTTATCAGGGTTGGAGTAAATACAGAGGGATAACGCTCGTGAGGCGTACATGAAGAAATGGGAAAGAGGCGATTAGTGAGCAGGAGTGTGGCTTCATGCTGAGAAAGAGCGCTACGAATCTGTTTGCTTTCAGTGCTGATGGAGAAGGTCAGGAAATGCACGGACTTTGTGGGACTAGAGAAAGTACTGAAACAACAGAATACATGTTCAGGTTCACTTCTCGACCTCACCGATCCGTTTGATATCCCAGCTGGAGAAGAAGAGTCAGATGAGGCTGAAGTTTTCGTTCATCAAAGCTTTAACACCAATGCGCGTTGGGAGATCACACTACATGCAGCCACAGCAAGCACCAAGTGGATCTGAGGAGCAATTCCTCAATCTGTTCATTATAAAGGCTCTGGGCGCTCCCTTAAGGGACTTGTCCTATATTTATCTAGTAGTCCCACAAGCATCTTGCAACCTTTAAATCACATGATTAGACACGGGGGTTACAGGTGAGCCCACCCTACGCCCACTACAGTCAGCAAACCGAGTCATACAAAGAATACGTTGTTTCCTTATCAATGACATTCAAGGCCACACCCCCTACCGTTCACATAGAAAGGTACACTCCCCAACTGTTCCTTTGTAGTTTCCTGCTTTTCTATTCTTCTTTACAACCTACTCCTTATCTCTGCATATCATAGGGGAACTGAAACATGCCACCTGCTTTAATACTTTCTCACAATGTGTATGAATGAGAGGGAAACAGGTGTAACAGTGAAACAGCAAAGAGCAGAGATAGTGAGGGTAGATGAGTTTAAATGCCTGGGGTCAACCATGCGAAGCAACAGGCAGTGCACAAGAGAGGCGAAAAAGGGGTTAGGCAGGGAGGAGAATGTCGTAGGGATCATTTGTGACAGAAGAATAACCATAAGAGTAAAGAGAAGGTTTACAAGATGATAATGAAACCTGCTATGATGTATGAGTGACAAAAAGACGGGAGGTGGAGATGAAGATGTCAACCTGGTAGTGAGCAGAATGGACATGATTAAAAATTAGTATATCAGATGGACAGCTCAGGTTCGGCAGTTAGAGTTAGAGGGGCGAGGCTGAGATGGTTTGGACCTGTACAGTAGAGGCATAGTGGATATAGTGGACAACGGATGTTGAAGATGGAGCTGCAAGGCAAGAAGAAAAAAGGAAGACATGCAGAGAGTTGGTGTGACAGAGGAGGATGCTTGCGATAGGGTGAGATGGGGGAAAGAGGATCAGCTATGGTGACCTCTAAACGGAGCGGCCAGAAGAAGAAGTAAAATAAAAGTATTAGTAATAGCATTAATTTCTGGCTTATTTCGCAATGTCGCACAACACTACTTGGATTCTGACATAAAATCCTACTCTTTTCCAGAAGGGGGCAGTAGTGTAGTATTTGCGACGGCAGCCGCCTATTGTGCAGCCGAAGAAGAAGAATCAGTCGAGCTTTTATCAACTCGAAGTGGCTACGTAAATGTTAGCAAGGTGACACAAATGGTTGTTCTTTCTCTTGGATATTGTTCCCCATTGCTGACTCGATATGGGCAAGAGAGACAATCGAGTGGTGAGTGGTGCCGCATAATTTGATTAAAATTATTTGCATATATACCGCGTGACATTTAGTAAACAAGATAAAAATAAACGGGCTAGCGCTGCAGTTAGCATTGGTTAGCTTACGTACGTGTCCACTAGGTATTGTGATGCTAGGCCTGCTGTGTACGGTGGTTAGTTTAGCCGCGCATATACACACTTAGCTTGGAAATGCAACAGTGTAGATTGGTTTCTTTAATCTTTAGGCTTTCAAACAGCTTGATCGACGCAAAGCTAACGTTAGCTTAGTGCATCAGAAGGTAATCCTAAATTTGGGAGTAGTTCAGGTTCTTAGGCGAACTGCCTTGACCGTCGTTGATTGGCAGAAAATACAGCAACTACTTGTTTACTGATTACTACTGTAATTTGTGTACTCCAGTCCCTGTTTTAAATGTTGTTTAAATGCGCTGTGCCTGCTAATGTTAATGTTGGTGTTACTTTTGAGCGTTTTCCAAGTGTCTCCCCCTTTAATGTTAGCCAATGCCTCGGGGAGGCTCCAGGTACACATACATCTTACACAGTAGCAGAGTCCTGCTGTAAACCCCATGCCCAGGCTCTGTTTGCCCTGTTTCACAGCTATTTTAGCGATCCAGCATGTAGTACTGGTGAATTGCAATGCATTATGCCATATTTTAAGTGTCCCTCTATTAGAAGGATGGAAATGAATGCTTTTGTCTGTGTTTCAGGCTTACATTAACCCCATTGCTGCTGCACGAGCCAGGGGGCCGGTACAGGGCTCTGGGCCAACCATTCAGGATTATTTAAGCAGACCTCGACCAACATGGTAAGTAAAGGGCAGATTTGCAGCTTAGTGGTGTAAAGTTGTGTCCTCACTTTATCATCACCACAAGAACATTTTTGGTGTACTATTAAAGAGCCAAAGGAGTCAAGGTGCACATATCTGGCAGCACAATCTTTGTTAAGGGGTTATAATAAATTCAAAACTCTAAAGCGTATGAACAGTATTAAGTAAATAAAGCTATTAGTGATTCCTAAATAAGAATACTAACCTCACCTTTAACTAGAATAATTCAGTCTTTCCCAAAAGGTGACACTTTTGGAATTAAATCCGTTTTTAAAAAATTATTTATTGTGTTTATCAGGGAGGAGCTAAAGGAACAGCTGGAGAAGAAGAAAAAGGGCTCTCGAGCCCTGGCTGACTTTGAGGACAAAATGAACGAGGTACGTTTGCATTATATACAAAGTATTTGAACAGGCATGAACTGGGCTGTTAATCAACACAGTTTTCCTCTGGAGTTAGCTTACTTTTAATACTCCATGGCGGCCTTACTTGTCTATAAGTTAAAAAGATAAACGAAATCTTAAATTTATTTAATTTGTGGGTGGCACAGGGGTGCACTTGTTCAAACATCCTGTTCAGCTGGAGCCTTTCTGTGCCTCCTGGTACTCTGGCTTCCTCCCACAGTCCAAAGATGTGTTTGTTTGGTTAGTTGGTTATTATTAATTGGCTGTTTATGTAAAAGTGTGAGAATGTTTGATACAATGGACTCGGAGCACATATTTTACCTTAGGGGAAATCTGTGTTTGCAATGGAAACATGCCCGTACTGTGAGAGCTTGAGAGCTTTTTAAATTTATTTAATTGTGTACAGCATCTGAAGCGTCATCACTGTTTCTCACTGTAGCCACATTGTAATTCATATTAGATGAAAATATTGCACCTTATTGAAACAGTTACTGGATAAACACCACATACTATTTTGGTAACATTGTTTCTTGCTTTTTAAGAGATGGAGGAAAGAACTCGCCAAAAACAGAGAGAAAATGTTAGGCGGAAGTGAAAAGGACAAGGAGGAGAAGAAAGACAAAAAAGAGGTATGATATGAATCCTGTATCAGATTCATGAAGTATTATTTTTATTTCTCACCTTTACTCACTTTTTGTTTCTCTGTGCTTCGTTTGCTTGGCATTTGTGTTTAGAAAAAGAAGAAGGAGAAGAAGAAATCCAGCAGGGTGAGGAGAGACCTCCAGTATTTTGATTAACAGCTGTGCCGTGTTACTGATACATACACACAGAGTGCATGTTTTCTAAACTCGTCTCTTATTCAAGCCTGTAAATGCAGTTTGTTTTTTCAAACAATCGAATAACCTCATATCTAATGAACCCTGCTTCCACTGTGTTTTGGTCAAGCATTCTTCATCTTCCTCCTCCTCATCGAGTTCTGATTCCTCCAGCAGCTCCTCCTCAGAGTCAGATGACGAGGTAAGGTCCTTTTACGATTCATTTTACATCTCATGTAGGGCTGCACGATTTTGCATAAAATGAGAATCACGATTTTTTTTTTTTTT